AAAACTTTTATCAACCAAACTGCACTAGCTGCTTTTAAATGCAAAACGCAAGTGTGAGTAGCATTGTATGCATTTTGAAATTTTATGGCTTGTTTTACTTTTTTTTAACATTAATGTGGATTTGTGTTTTTATAGGTTTCATGTTTCTCTAATGATATTTTTTGGTATTTTTTTAACTACGGTAAGTTGTAGGCAAATTTGATGTGAGAATACCTTAATTTAAAAAAAATTGCAAATTAAGCAACTGAAAAGCAATGTACAGTAGAACTCCTGTATAACGAATTACTCTATAATGATTCTTTCGAGGATTTTAAATATATTTGTTATTAAAGAGTTTTATTATACAAAGTTTTAAAGGCACTGTGCAATGCTAGCTGGAGATTTAAAAGTTGTTCGTTATGTTGAAGTTTCGTTGCAAATTTTGACGTTTTTTGTCAAAAACCAAGCGATCTGGATATGCATAACAAAAAAGCTGAGCACGTTGGTCCCAAATTGGTAAAGCCATTGGTGAAATACGTTTTTGAAACCATTTATTCAAATTTCTTGATTTTCGACGCTTTTGCTCAACGTTTTGCGAGGGCTTTTTTTAAATGATATTAAGCCCAAATCTTTAATTTCCTTACCGATATTAAGCCAAAATCTTTCAATTACATGCCCTTCAAACCCGGCAGAGTTTGAACCGTGTAGGCGCTAGAATTACAAGCCCAGATGATTGACTATAATCTCATCTGACAAAACAGTTTTCGGCTCTTTCTTTTGCGGCCCCTGAAGGGAGGCTCTTTTTCTCCTCCACAACGCGGCTGGCGGAAAAAAGTGGCACCATGTTATAACAGGAGAGGGCTTTTCCCTCCTCCAGCACTTCCGGGCGTTTCGCTCTTTTCTGCCCCGCCGGTTTTACGGCCGCGCGCAACTTTTCGCGAACCTTTCGAAAAAGAGCAAATTCTCCTTTTTATGGCCGAACGAGTTTTTTAAAATTTTTTTTGACAAATTTGTGACGGATTTGTTTTTGAATCTGTATTTCTCTTGTCTTTGTTGACTTTTGACATGACCGAGTGAATTTATGGCGCCTGGAATTTGTTTAGTTTGCAAATTCTTGCAAATGTAGTAGTGTTGAAAGAGAAAAAAAACTAGAAAAAACTTTCTTATTTGAAAACTAATGTTTGTTCAGCCGTATTTTACAAAAAAACGTTTTTGTTGTTACAGGATTACAAAAAATCAGCTTAAAAATTACTGTGGAATCTCTGTATATCAAAATTACAGTGGAATCTCAGTATAACGAATTGCTAGGGAATTTAACATTTGTTTGTTATGAAAAAGTTTTGTTATACAGGAGTTTTAAATGCACAATCGATTCAAAAGTTGTTCATTATTCAGGAGTTTCTTATACAGAGATTCCACTGTATTTTAAAAGTTTTAAAAAAAATTTTATTGATTTTTTAAAATTTTTAAAAAAATTATTATTTAAAAAGAAATTTTTTGTCATTTTTTGTTAAAATCAACAACTTTTTGAGCTTTGCAGACTGTGAATGACAAATTATACAACAGATCAGTGATTGCGTGGTTTCAAGTGAAGTATAATAATATAATATACTTGCATTCCAGCTAATTTGGCATGTTTTGGCTTGCCTTTTTTAGCAATCCTTGTTCTCTAAATTTACTATGCTAATTATAAGTGTCAAGACTAAATTATGACTATATGAACTTACATGTTGCTAAATTAGGTATAGTGTCTCTAAAAGTAAAAAAGTAGTAGTAATGCAAAATTACTGTTATACTAATAGCTTTATCGGATTTCAACAATTTTAAAAATTTGAACTTTAAAGTTATGATCTATTGGAAAGTACATTATTTTGTAGTAGACAAAACTTTGACATTCTGTAACTTTTTTTATAACTATTTCAACTGGGCTTGGCTTCGCACTGGACCGGGCCAAATCAATTTTTAAAGCGGACGGGCCAAAAAATTGGGCTTGGCCTAACCCTTTGACAGGCTTACACGCAAGTTAGTATTTTTTTAGATTTTTCTTACCTTGATGATGCTCTAAAACTCGTATTGAACAGTTTTTCATATTGCCGTTATTTGTAAGAACACCTTCCTTGTTAGTCCAAAAAGAACTTTGTTTATTTACACAAATGGAAATTTTTTTAATTCTTGAGGCGAGAAATTTACAAAACAAGAATTAGTTAATTGTTATTCGCCGAGAAACAGGATTTAATATTCATAACCATCTGGTCATGATGCGTCGCCCCTAACTTGCTTATTGTATTACAACGTCGAAAGTGCAAGTTTTGGCGCCGATTTTAAATTGATGACAGGTTTATGGCCTAGTTTTATAAGGGCAGTGACAAAAGGGTTATTCTTCATTTTTATGACGGCAGGGGAAAGGGGCGATTTATGAAGGGAGGTGGGTAGGGTAGGGTAGGGTAGGGTAGGGTAGGGTAGGGTAGGGTAGGGTAGGGTAGGGTAGGGTAGGGTAGGGTAGGGTAGGGTAGGCTAGGGTAGGGTAGGGTAGGGTAAAGTAGGGTAGGGTGGGTAGGGTAGGGTAGGGTAGGGTACCACGACCTTGATGACCTTAGTACCGCTATATATCCCAATACTATTTAGTACGATCACTTCTGTTTACCAACCCCGACGAAGCCCATTCTTTACCCAAGCCCCTTACTTTACCGCGCCCTTCCCTTCCGCAATGTCATCGCTAATTTGGCTCTTGTGCCTTGAAGCGGCGTCTGGAGGTCTTCTTGGGCTCTTCATAACATTTGTGTATAACATTGCTTAAACCTCTTTGCCCCGTTCCCCTGAGGGTTTTAAGGGCAAAAAAGTTTGTTTCCGGCAAATTTCTTGTGCGCATTTATTTTGATGGTCCACATAAAGGAATTCGGTGGCCGAAATTGATGCAATTCGTCTTCAGCACCATTGTGTTATGACGGATTTGGGTGGAGGTGGGTTCAAGGATTCGGGGTGGGGGTGGATTGAAGGATTTGGGGAGGAGTGTGTTGAAGGATTTGAGTGAGGATAGATTCTGGATTGTAACTGTGTACAGTATTATACTGCCTTCTAAAGTTTTTGGGTTGATACTTGGCATTTTAAGACAAAGAAATTTTTAGGGTTGGTAATTAGTGTTTTGGTACTAGCTTTTTGCTTTACAGACATACCGTTATCTACAACTTTTTTGTTTATTTTTCTTTTCTTTATCTTAACTAACGCTGACATATTTTGTGTAATTATGCTTTTTTTAATAGTAGGTAGAATAAAAATCATAAGAAACTTTGTTCTACACAAATCGCATAAATATGAGAAAAGCTGTGATTTTAAATTAAACTGTTTATTATCAGGTTTTTCAAATAATTCTGCGCCCTATTCACGCGAAAAGTTGCTTTGAAAAGAGCATAAAATTATTTGAACAGCCTACTATTTTGTATTGACACTTTTAAATGAGGTTTGGACAGGGATTTTTAGTATGAGCGGAGTAAAAATTTTAAATTAATGTTGAGTGGGGCTTTTGAAGGCAGTTGCGCTTGACGATCGGGCTGTTTTGGCAATTGTAGATCCATGAGAAGCTGATAATCAGTCTTTTATTGGTTGGTCTGTTAATAATACATAATAGAAAATCTTGAAAAAGTTTTTTTAATTTAAAAGTTTAGGATTTTTTATTTATGACACGGCATTCCTTCACAGTAAATAATGACTTTTGTAGTGTAAAATACAATACTAAATATTACCAACGTTTATATTTTTAAACCTGAATTAGCGTTGTTTAAAACGTTCAAAAAATGGCGTTTTTTAAACAATTTTTGGGGTACACTGAAAATCTTTTGATTATGACCCTCTATGACAAAGTAATGAGCCACTAAACTTCATGACAGAAATTTTTTTTGCGCGACTACAACAACACTTTATTACAACACAAAAATTTTTACGACAATTTAGGTATTTATGAAAAAATGAAAATTTGGAGTTACAATATTTTTTTTGTAATTTTTATTATGGCTAATTACTTTTTGAACCGTCTGGTAATATTAGGTCAGGATTCAATTCTACTTTATAAATACATACTTAATTTTTGTATAACAATATGCTTTACCCTATAACTTTAACCTTATATTTAACACTTTTAGTTCCAAATCAAACCTTCAGGTGCTAAAACTCCATTTTAAAACTACCCATTCACATTACCTCTATAACTCAACCTCGATCAACTTTGCTCCCAAATCGATTCCAACTCAAAACGTCAAAACCCGCTTCGAAATTCGTCGTTATAAGGCCATAAAACCAGCATGCGTTTGCATATTATGGCCAAACCTGTGGCCGAGCGCCGATCCGTTGAGTGAGTTGAAAAACGAGCAGTCGCATGATAATGCCCCGAGGGCCTGTTTTGATCCAATTTTCGCTTTTTGCAAACGTTTTTTCGGAATTTTTGGCGACAATTTTTATTTTTGGGGGGTGGTTTTGTTTTTTTTATTTTTTAGGATAGGTAAGGGGGAGGGATGGTGTGGGCGGGTAATTTTTGTAGGGGGGAGGGCATGGCAAAAACTTTTTTTTAATAAAAAAAATTTTTTTAAATTACTAGGACAAAACAATATTTTTAAACAGAAATTTATGCTAACCGTATTTTACCATGACATCATGTATGAAATGTCATCAATTTTCGTCTAAAGTCATTTTTTCTCAAAACAGCAATTATTTCGGTTCGGACATGCTAAACACATTTGATTTGACACAATTAATGGCCTCGAGGTCCTAACTTTCTCAATTTTCAATTTTTCTTTTCAAACTTCCAATCAATAGCTGTTGGGTCCTTGATTTATAGAAAAATCAAGTTATAGATCGCTAAAATTAATAAAAACGTATCTATAAGCCTCTTTCAAAATTTTAAAATTTTTTAAAAATTTTATGTTTTGCCTTTTTTAATTTATAAGCCAAGTATGGTAATTTACATAAAAATTTTTAAAATTTCCTACACCCTATTTTGTAAAAAAGTCATTTTTAATTTACAGAGCCTAATGCAGAAGCCAGTGGCGTCACGGATACCCCAAGGGGTGGGGGCCGTCCCTCCACCCGGGATGGACCCACGAAAAGGCAAATTGATGTGCATCAAGGTTCGAATGCTGGACGATACTGTGGCCGTATTTCATCTGGGCGTAGGTTTTTTAATATATTTGGTATTACCGAAATATGGTACTAATGGTACTAATTTTTTGACCTTTTTTATATTTTTCGAAAAAATTTGAAATTTTAGTGCTTTTGGTACTACGTAACATTAATATATAAAGATTTTGATAAATGTGTTACTTTTAGTCGAAAAAGACTAAAGATTTTAGTCTTTTTGGTACTTTTTGTCCAGATATCAATACAACTTTAGATTTTGTTAACTAAGAAGTCATATTTTAGCACCGTGCAAATGGTCAAGCCTTGTTTGATGAAGTTTGTCGACACCTAAACCTACTGGAAAGTGATTACTTTGGCCTTGAGTTTGTTGATGGCTACGGGAATCGAGTAAGTTTAACTGCTAACAATAAGTTATCAATGGTACTGAATCATTAAGGTTTTCAATTAAAAAATGAAAATTTTGATTTTTAGGTAAAACATGGTATCAAAGATCTACTTTTTATAAATTTGTTAAAAAGTATTATTCGCAAAAAGGTTTGTCGCTTTTTGACGTGCAACTCAATGTAAATTAACGACAAAACTTTTTTGAAGCCATCAGAAACAAAAACAATTTTTTAATAAGAAAATTTTGAACTTGAACAAAACCTTCTCTAAAACGTCATTTCAGTGCTGGCTAGACAAAGACAAGTCCATTCTCCGCCAAATCACCGCCGCCCAATCAGATGCCCGCTTCTACTTCGTGGTCAAGTTCTACACCCCCAATCCATCCGAATTAGAAGAAGAATACACTCGATATCTTTTATCTCTACAAATTCGACGTGATCTGGCTCACGGCGAATTCGTTTGTAATGAGAATACGGCCGCACTTCTGGCTTCGTTCATTGTTCAAGCAGAGTGCGGTGACTATTCGGCCGAAGACTACCCTGACCATACCTACTTGAGTGTAACGGCGTTTGTGCCACATCAAACTAGCGCATTTCAGATGAAAGTCATGGACAATCACAAGAAATTGGTGTAGGTTACATATTTTTTGAGTAATGGTTAATAAAGAATGGCAGATTGAAAAAGAAAGGGTGATTTATGGTATAAAAACGTGTTTTTTTTTGGCAAAAATTTTGATATTTTTTAAAGTTTTAGTATAAAGACGATATCGATTAGTTATAAAATCAAACGTAATAGAAGCCCAGAATCTATTTTACAATATAACATAACATCCCAATCTAATCAAACTATCACAGTTTTTAAAAAGTTAAAAAACCAACCACACCTTCCTCCCCAACCCCTATGATAATATGCCTTCATTTTTCAGTGGTATGACCCCAGCCGATGCTGATTTGGCGCTTCTGGAGACGGCACGAAGATGCGACTTCTACGGTATAAAACTTCATCAAGCTAAAGACCTTGAAGGCACTGATATCGCCTTATCAGTTGCTCATATGGGCATCAAAGTCTTTCAACATTTGAATTGTGCATCGACGTTTTCATGGGCTAAAATACGAAAATTGTCGTTCAAAAGGAAAAAGTTAATGATCAAACTTCATCCTGATCCATATGTGAGTTTTTGCATTTTCCTTTCGTTTTTAGGTAACACTTTTTGAAATTTTAGGTTACAGTTTTAAATTTTCGAAAAACAATTTTTAAAAATTTTTACGAAACAATTTTTGATGTTAGGGGTTTAGAATAAGCCTAAAAATATGCTGCACCGCCTTGGCGGCCAAAAAAAATCCAAACTTGTCCATTTTTTCAAAAAAAAATATTTTTTAGCAATTCCAAAAAGAAACCGCAGAGTTCATCTTCGATAACCGGAATGAATGCAAGAATTTTTGGAAGAAATGTGTCGAACATCACGCCTTTTTCCGTTGTCTCGATGTTCAACCTGAAGTCAAGAAGGAATCAAAGTTCTTCACGCGAGGATCTTCATTTAGGTATCAAGGAAGAACTCAGAAACAGCTCATCGATTATGTCAGGGAACATCACAAGAGGAGAGAACCTTTCGAACGGTAAGAGTTTTGTATTTTGTTGGATTTTAGGTAACAATGGAAGTATTTTGGGTTGTGAACGTGTTGACAATGAATTTTGGGGAGTTTGTTACCTAAATTATGGGTAAAAAAGTTTTCGCTAAAAATTTATCGTTTGGTTACCTAAAATAACTCAAACTTAACCAAAATTTAGTAAAAAAATCAAAATTCATGCTTAATACTGAAAATAACATCTGCTTTCCGTCAGATCAGTAATCATCCCTATCTTTCAGCCTAATCCGTCCAAGCATGACGCCACGAGCTCAAGCCAGTATTCATAATGTTCTAGACGCGACTCGAGACTCATCTGTACCTTATCAACCTTTGCCTTCCTTATCAACAGTCTCTTCTCAACCAAACGATCAAATCCGAACGTTTAGTTCAGTACGACAACAACGTCGTCTTTCAGCTCAACGTTCCATCGAAGAACAACCTCAGGCTACAGGAAATCGAGTGAATCAGCGGCCGAAATCAGCTCACAGTCGTCCTATTAGTGAGTACATTCGAGAAGAGCGTGCTTTTTCGAGTGAGTATGAACCAAAGTCCGAACGTGCTGATGTGCCAAAGAATAATAGCAAGACGAATGGTCAAAATGGTGCTTCTGGAGCCTTTGGACCTTCGACATCAGCCGAAGTGGATCCCATGAGTGTGTCGTTACCTAACGTGCTTGGAGAAGACATCAAAGTGATTTGCCGTGAATTCCAGGTCCGAGTTGACAAGGGATATCCAAGTAAAAGTGCCAGCGGCGACAATTTCCTGAACCAAAGTCGAGACAACATCAGTGAAGGTTCATATCGGTTGGAAGAGAACTCGAGTCAGTCTGATGTGGCTACAACCTACTCGAATGCGACCGATCCTCGAGTATATTCAACTACTTTCACCACGAAACGAGTTGGTAATGTGATAGTAAAGAAAGTGAAGCCAGCAGTGAAGCCGACCCGACCTCAGGTCAAGGATTCTAGTGACGATGACTCGAGTAACTACTCGGATTGTCGAGTTTCGTCGGTTTCTGCTCCAGCTCGGCATTCTAATCGAATTCTGAATATGAATGCTAGTCAGGTTCGGGCTGGATTTGCTCGATGTAAGGATAATGTCGCCATTCCGATTGATTGCCCGCCTTTGAAGGAAGCTACTCCACCTTACAACATAGGGTCAGCAGCCAACCCACCATACAAAACTGAGTCAATTGCGTATAAACATGACGGCATTCCAAGTAAAATAGAATCCAATCTGTACAAAGGAGTTACATCAGCTAGTGAATATACTCCTCCAGTCAGTAGTGAGTATAGCCCTCATATTACCGGTCGCTTAGTTGGAGATTCGAGTGTTTTAAGCAACAGAATAGGCCAAGACTCCACCGTTGTGTACCGACCGCCAAAAGAAGCCACTCCGCCAGCTACGTCAGTTGGAACTTGTGTTAATATGTACGTGACAAGTAGCTCCACAGCCTCAGGGACCGCGCCAGTAACATCTACAACATCCACTGCTACAATTATTCGGCCGGTCGTTTTAAGCTCCAATTCTCCGCCAACGCCGATTCGGAAGCCGATATTCATCAAGCCGAACAAGGACGGGCCTTCTAATATTGTAATCAGCAAGTCTGAGACTCCATCGACCTCATCTGGTACTCCTTCCATCAGTACTATCGTGAATCGACCATCAACTTTCGACCCAAATGCTTCTACAAGTACTCCGGTTATCATTGGAAAGTCTGAGAACTCATCGTTCCGTACCGTGATTCCAACGTCACCTACGAAAGAGCGAAAGAGTCCTACTTATGTTTCTAGGTCTAAAGCTTGGGATTCAGAAGGCCAGAAAGCGACGTCACCTGTGAATATAAGTGGCCCGCTACCTGGAAAGATTATTACACGACAGAATGTGGTACTAACTCCATATGGAGTTGATACTAAGCCTGAGAAGCCTAGCGTGCCTCCGAAGCCTAAGGATTTGATAGAAAAACGAAAATCAGGAGAACCGGGGAAGATCAATGAAAAGATATATGCCATCTTTGATAAACCAGGCGAGAGTTCTAAGGCATATGAAGATCAGCATGGTCAAGGTGAACATCTTCAAACATTAGGTGATCATCATAACGTACCAGGAGGTCATCAAGGCAAACATCATGCTCAAGGGGGTCATCACCCCCTTGTATCCGGCAGCTACTCAATAAGTGAACGTGTCAGCACCAGCTTTATCAACAACGACAAAGATACCATGGTGTTAATCACGACGGACAAGAAATCAACCAAAAAAGAAATCGTATCTGAAGAAGATCGACTTCTGGAGCCATTGGAAAGCATTCTAAACGATGCCAATAATTTGGCATTCTTATCAGAAGGCCGAGAAAAGAAGGAGCAGCCATTTCCAACACTAATTTCGGTCGAAAGCGAAGATCGACCGGACTTAAAGAAGCTGCATTTACTCAATGGTGAAATACCGTATACTTTGACTATGAGGAACATACAACAGGCCCCGAGTACGACGCACAGCACGTTCTCGGACGATAACAAGGAAGGCAGCCCGGATATCAAAGGGAAACCTACTCGAAGGTCTACTGACTCTTTGAGGGCTAGGAAGTCTATTGATTTGGTAGGTTTTTGAAGTTTTTTATTTTTAATACCTAAAAATTATTTTTGAAAAAAAGAATTTTTTAAATTAAAATCTGCATAAGTGTAGCTTTTTAGGTAACAATAATGCCAACTTTTATCTTTTTGACTAAAAACGAATTTTAGGTCCACCGTAACCGCCTGCCATCTCTGGACAGTTTCTCTTCTCAGGACCATTCCATCAGTCCGACGACTCCAGAAGCCGGAAACGTGATCGATTATGTTTCTCGCCGCCGTTCCGTGAGCAGCGATCGTTATTCCAATAGTGGAGCTACGTCAGCCCCATGTGCCAGACGAAACAAGAATCCAGAACGACGACGAACTCAACCAGTTCAACTGACCAAATCAGCGGCCATTGATTCTGAATCTCCAACCATGAAGACTGATTCTAATGCTGAAACTTCATGTTGTGATCCTGATAGTAAGGGACACAACATTGACGGTAAGGCGGATAATAAGCCGTCGGTTTCATCGAATAATCGACCAGCTGTAGCTCCGAAGCCAGTCAAAGAAGCCGAGAAACAGTCTGATAGTAGTAGCTCCAGTGATCTACCTGAACCACCTAGAATTTTAGGTAACACTCCTGATTTCACAAAAATATCTACTGAATTAAACTCAAAGATTCTATCAAACAACGGCCATGATAACAAATCGTCGACCATGAGTTACGATAACAAATCAACTGTAATATCGCCTTCTGAACCAACGAATCCAAAACCCACAAATCCAAGCCAAACATTTGCAACCCCACTTTTAAAAAATACGTCTACAGCTCCTCCCCCTACTACTTCAACTCTCCCAAGTGTCAAATCCGACTCAAACACAGTGCCTCAGGCCGCGACACACAAAAAGGAAACTGGTCTAATTGAAACGGATTTATAATTATTACTTTAATAAAATTTGGTGCTAACAATTAATTCAAGTACGGTAGTTGACACATCGAAAGATGGCAAAGAGCAAAAAAAGTTCAAGATTCAAACAAACAAAAATTGTTCAGATAACGTCAGAAAGTAAAGAAATCACGATTTTGTAAAGATACGATTGTATCGCAAAGAAGATCGGATAAAAACATAAGTTATTTGGTTTAGCGAGAGCCACCGGATGACGAACGTCTTCTTCTGCGTGGGGATCTGGAGCGACGTGGTGGAGAAGGTGAGCGGCGTCTAGAGTGACGTGGTGAACGTGAACGACCTCGGCCATATCCACCGCCATATGGAGAACGACGTCCGTAGCCACCACCATATCCTCCATATCGGCGTGGTGGAGGTCCACGACGGCCGCTGTTACGCGGCAAAGCAATCGATGTTCTGATGTGACAGTCTCTAACGTATCCTGACTTCATTTCCTGAAATTAACAATTATTCACAAAAAAATATTTTATCAAAAAACCATATTTTTTACCTAGTTTAATATCATTTCCCCTAAAAGCAAAAATAACTGTAAAAACCAACTACTTACCTTCAAAGCAGCCTGAGCATCATCAGCATGTTCGTACACCACAAATGCGTAGAATGGTGGATATGAAGCCACCCAAATATCCGACAATTTGCCGAACTTTCCATAAGCATCCTCAATATCGCGTTTTCTGATGGATTCGTCGATGTTAGCGATGTGAAGACGGTTAGATGTTTTGGAAGACGGTGATGGAGAACGTGAGTAAGTTCTGGAACGATGACGTCTCTTTGAAGTGCGTTCCCTTGATGCAGAACGGCTGCGAGAGCGAGCTGATGGCGATGGGGTCATGTTTGAACCTAAAACAATACAATTTCAATAAGTTTTCGGGGATTCCATTTACCAAACACGATGAGAATGTGAGATTAGATTAAGCCAACACTGTTAACCACTCAGGCCAAAGGATTTTCCATTACCAAACTCAACACATTTCCAGTACCAAATTGCACCATAATTGATACCCATAAAGTCTCAATGCCTCAAATCCATCCAAAAACCACCCACTTTTCAAGACCAACCATTCCTTACACCTGTACAAGGCTCAACTCTACATTTTTAGACCATTTACATGCCCAAAATACCAATGAGAAGAGTGCTATACCAGCGACAAGATCCTCAATACCAACAGCTAGACCAGACCATCCCAACATTCACCATAACCAACCACAAATTCGCGATATTCATAACAATTCCAACCAAACCACCAGACCCCACCAAAGGTCTCCATCCAAATACACCTTTTTGGGGAACAACATTGTTTTGCGATCGAAAAGCTGGCTGCGGAGTAAGGAAAACTGACGAAGCGTCCATAACGACCGTTTGTTTTCGTGGCGGGACTCTGCTTCGGGCTTTGCGAGGCTCACTTTTGGTGTTTAACAATAGTTTATGTTATCAAAACTAAAGGAGGAAAGGTCTTGTGTTCTTTAACAACACATAAATCCAGTTTTGAACGCATATGAAGTCTTTTTAAAGTGTCACGATGACAGATTTTATAGAGAGACTACTTTTATCGGCTGTACGACTACTTTGGTATGAGAAAATAAAGTTATAATAAAAAATACTAGTATTTTCAGCCTAAATCAAGTCCTAAAAGGTAGTTGCTGATCTTGTCAAGCATGATGTTTATCTGACGATCATTGTTTATAGGTCAAAACACCAAAAAATGCCATGTTTATCAAATGACAATTGAGTTTTAGTGAAGAATCAGCCAGTTATCACTTGTGTCGTTCTTACTATACTATTTGGTTTTTGGTTCTTCTCTTTTTCACATTGGAATTCACATGAAAAACAGTCAAAAATATTACTTTTTTACAATGAACAGGAACTGATATAACTTTATTAACGTTACATTATGTTTTGAATGGTCTGACAATGAATTTACTGTACAATACTTTTACAAAAGTGAAGATATTGTGTTGTAACATTATATTTTAAAAGGTCACTTATAAAAAAAGTAGAGTAAAGCAAAGAAAAAGGCCAAAAACCACTGATTTTTTGCTCAAACTCAACTTATTTTACTATTTTTAATCCGCCAAACAGTTTGAAAATATAATTTTACAACTATTTACATTTACAATTTGACTCTTATTGCCTTTATCCAAATTTTAAACCACATTTCTAAAATCTCTAAACATTGCCGACGGTAAAATGAAGAAATAGTGTTCGAAGACCACAAAAACAAACATGTTTTCCTCTCTTGCAAGACTTTGGAAAGCAACATAACAACGTTCTTCAAGGGCGTGCCGTTCCTCCAGTCTAGGAGGAGCTTATTCGTCAAAAAGACAATAAAAAATTAAGTGGGTGAAAAAGAAACGGAAAAAATAGCGTTAAAAATGAAGAAACAGGAAAGAGAAATAAGAGAGTGAGTGTAAGAGAGAGAGCGCGCAGTGGAACGTTTGTCTCTTCGTCAAAAGCAGAGGAGGCTGCGAAATAAAAGGCGGTTTGAAGAGAGAACAGAGAAAAGTTAAAGAAAAGATTAGAGAGTGCGTAAGTAGAAGAGGGTGGTCAGATAAGTATCAAAAGAAGCGGCAAGTTAGAGAAAAGAAGCGAGAGAGTGTGCGGAAAAGAGAGAGCAGTAAACAAACCCAAGTTAGAGACAATAGACGCATGAGAGACAGCAGACTCACATCCATGCCAAAGATTGCTTATTGGCCAGAGGTTCCAGAAGAATTTTTTCGAAATTTCAAGAGTGTTCTACAAAAAAATGTGGATTAAAGAATGACATAGGACAACAACAACATCAGTATAAAGAGTGGGATACTTTTACTCTCAAAACAAACGTTTACTTTTTAAAAATTGGCTGTTTGGTTATTGTTTGAACTGTCCCATTACAGTTGATTATTGTTTGGAGTGTCAAATTTAATGTATTTTACCCTGTTTATGGGGTAAACAATTTCGAAAGTGGCGTTTTCGAAAATTGGTTACTTATAAGCTCGAGAATTTCGAATTTTTACGACATTAGTGCATTTTTGGACCGAATTGAGGTTGGTTTCGATTTTTCAACTTATTGTAGGAGAAATAAACATATTTTACTCAATATTATTTTTAAAATTCATTGATAATTTTGAAAAATTATGCTAATCCACGTTCGTATCTAAACTGTTATGCTTTTCAGATATCAATATTGAAGTTTCAAGTCTGCTTTGACTTTTAAAAGCTTTGAGTTTACTCTATCGAGCATTGAATTCGCCCTATATCTTCTTGTCAACACTGTTAAATTATCTACTACATCTTCTACAGAAAAATACAGGTGACAAAACAACTGTCAGACGATTACCGGTATTATCTTGTGAACTATAAGTGCTAAATTAAACATTACTGGTAGTATCTACTCTCCAGCAACCTATATTATATATTCTACAGCAACATGAGCTCCTTTCAAAAGTTTTTCCCTACCAAAAGCTTTCTCAAACAAGTCATTGGAGCAGGTAAGCCAATTTAAATGTCTTAGATTAGAATAACATGTAAGACATAATCATGTTAATATTTCAGGCGCTCTGGCATCAACAAGTTCATGCTTGAGTCAAACGTTCATTGAAAAAGCAGACCACATAGACTATCGCCGCGTTTTGAACTTTGGTCTTGTTACTATGGCTATTGTGGTAGGTATTATTAAAGTTATTCTTAAAAAGTTAATTATGCACCTTAACTTTGATATTGTAAAGATTTTTTGGAAAATCATACAAGTTTTACGTAAAAACCTTCAATTATATTAACATACATCATGGTGTATATGTTAATATAATTATAATTTAAACCCCTCAAAGCGACTCAAAACAAGCTGTAACTAAGACAGTATAACCCCAAATTACAGGGCCCAATCCAGTACCATTGGTTCCGTTTTCTCTCCCGCATGATGCAAGGAGAAAACCTTCGAACCGGTGTGAAGCGAATGATCGTCGACCAAATAATTGCTGCTCCCATAATAACCACCATCTTCCTGTTCAATGTACAGTTAATGGAGTCAAAGTCCATCAACACCTCGATCAACAAAACGCGCAACGTTTGGGCCCCAGTCATGGCCAACAACTATAAACTGTGGCCATTCGTGCAGCTGATCAACATGTCCGTGGTCCCATTGGAATACAGGATAGTTTTTCTGCAATTCGTAGGCTTATTCTGGAATTGTTACATCTCCTACATGACAACGAAGTAGATTGTTAGCTGAAGATCTCATAATAAATTATTTTATATGCTAGATTTAATTTTGGATAGTAGCCAAAAATGTAAAATAAAATAATTAGGGGAAAACTTGGCTCGTTGAAGAGACACTTGACGCGTCTGGAATTTTTTATTATTTTTTCGGTAAATTATTATCAAAGATGTTCAAAGAACCACTTCAATTATGCTACAAGCTTACCTCCGTCTACTATCACGACGACCATTGATCACGCAGATGGTATCTGCAGGTAATTTACATATTCTTCAAATTTCGCAGCATATTTCGATCAAAATAACAGCCTTTACCTTATTTTAGGTATCATTGGATGCGCAGGAGATGGTATAGCTCAATTTGCAGTCGAGAAACGTTCCTTAAAACAATATGATGTACAACGAGGTATCCGATTCTTCATTATGCCGTCTTGTTATGTGGTATGTTGTTATTTATTTGAGGTTTATCTTGTTTTAGGCACCAATTTTGAGTAGATGGTTCCGAGTTCTGGAGAAAATTGGCGGTAAAGGTGCCATGTTCAAGCGATTGGCTGTGGATCAGGTAGATTAATGTTCTGTGAAGTTTAACGTCAATTTTTAGCTTTGTTGGTCGCCGTGTTTTGGATCTTCAATTATTTTTGTATTGAACTTCATGGAGACTTTTGATTTTAAAAAGTCTTTCGAACATACCAAGAGCATTTGTTTTGAAGTTTACTTAAAGAGTTTACAGGTATGTTAATAATGGTTGCATGAAGACTTTGAACTTTTATTTTAGTTTTGGCCATTCTTTCAAATAATCAATCTCAACTTGATTCCAATCAATTTGCGGGTCATTTTCGTACAATTTGCTGCACTTATTTGGAATTCGTACTTGTCTTTCAAGACTCAGACGCCTGTTGGTGAAGATTTCTTTTTAGAATAGGTTTATATTAAACAATAAATTTATATTGTAATGTTTAAGTTGTCAAACTTTTAAAAAGTGTTGTTTTAGAAGGCGAACTTTTCTAAACTTGAAAAACATTCATTTATAATGTATTTTAAATATACGTATTGTTAGAATGAGTTAAAAAGTAATGATAGTCCGAGTTCTTCATAATCGATAAGTTTAAACCTAGTTTCGTAAATGCTCATTAGTCTTGAAACGCGGCTAGAGTTACTGTTACTATATAATTATAGGCATCAAAAAGTAATTGCGTTGAAGGTTTCGTTTGTCATTCGTATGACACTTATGGTTATTAGTATTATATTGAAATACCGTGCTTTGCCTTCTACAAAACTATAGTAATATGAAAAAGCGTTTGATTTATCATTAACCAAGTGTTAATTATCTAATATTACGAAAGACTAGTAATTTTCTTTTGTACTACAAATACTATTTAAAGGACCAGTTCGCCCATTCAAATATCATTGGCATTCTGTCGCAAAAATTCGACGTTCATTTTTTTCGCAAAAAACCTGAGCAGGTCGGTCCCAAATTGGAAAATTCATTTCGACACCGACCCACTCACGTTTTTTGAGAAAAATGATTTTGATTGAAATTGCCTGATTTTCGACGCTTTTTGCGACAGAATGCCAATGATATTTGAATGGGCGAACTGGTCCTTTAACAAAGAATATACCTTACTTTACATTCACAGTGTAAAGAATTTATATTACACTGTTTATAATGTCTACAAACTTATCGACCAATGGTCGATTTTCGTGGTATGACGAAACGTTGGCAGAGGCAAATAGTGACATTTATGCTGCCTATGCTCTATGGATGATTATTTTCAAAATCTGTCACAAAATCATATTTTTTGTTAGTGGTACAGCGTGTTTTACGCTATTGGCACTAATTTTACTGAGGTCAACTAAAGCGCTTAAAAATTATCGACCAATGTTGTTGGTGTCGTGTTTTTGTGACATTTGGTGTTGGTTCAGCACGTTTATGATTCAGTTGGTATGGTTTTTAAAATTTTTTAAAAATTTTGTGTAGTGTATTGTTATGTAGCGTAATATTTGTTATAGTATAGGATAAATCGTGTGCTAGTTTTGATAGTGAGGACGGGTGGCCGATATTGGGGGGAGGGGGGCAAGGGAAGGGTGATTTTTATTTTCTGGGGAATTAGCTTGAAGATTTAGGACAGGAAATAATTAGCTTGTTCACATAATTCTGTCCCCTCTATTCAGGCAAAGTTGCAGGTTAGGGGCACAGAATTATGTGAATAACCTAATATTAGAAAATGTTAAATTTTTGAATTTAAGGACTGCAACATTAAAGACAAAGTGCTGTTATTGCATGTGAATGGCAATGTCAAGGTTTTTAATTATGATACACAAGCACTTTGGATATCGTTATATGCTGTTGGAGTTGGTACTGCTGTGGCTATATTACCAGCCAACTATTATTATCGGTATCGATGCATCAAGGAGTACGTACTGTAGTTTCAATCTTCTGTATTTTCTATATTTCTACTGGTATATTAAAGCTATATTGGGAGGGGATGGAAGATGGCCAATCCTATAAAAACTTGCTTTAGCTAGTCAAAACTAAAATTTTTATAATTTATTTAGAGGGCCACCAAGGCTGCTGACGATGATATTCTTATACGCTTTAGCGCTTTCCATGGGCTTTACATACGGTTTATTGTGTTATTTTACTATGGAGTTGAGCGGAAACGCTAGACCAGGTTTCAATTATGCTACTCTTTGGTGGGATGCTCAAAATGCGCCGATTCTTTTACCTGGCGATATTGTAAGCTTTTTTGGGTACACCTGAACTTCTTTATAACGAATTGCCGAGAGATTCTTATTTTTTTTGTTATCTTATACAATAGTTTTACTGTTTATGAACCATTGTCCCAAAGTACAACGAATTTTACCGGTTTAGAAATGACATTTTTAGATTCACAAATGTGAAAACAAAAAATACTACAGTTGTATAATACTATATATTATATTTGCAGAGAAGTCTAGTAACAAAGCTATGTTTGGGTTTTACATCGATTGGTTTTGGCACATTGTATTTCATTGCTATGCTTTTGAGCCGCAGAACGTTACACTATTTTGCATCAAACATTACATTGTTTTCAAAAGGCACTGTGTTAATACAACGCCAATTAACTAGTGCATTGATGTTACAAGTAAGGCTTTATATTAAATTTTCCAAATATTATGATGAAGTCAAAATTTTAAAAAATTTTAAAAAAATTTTAAAAAGTAAAAATGGGCTTTGCAATTGAAAAATTTTTGAAATTCAAAGAAAGTAAAGGTTACAAAATCTTGAAACAAAATTTTATAACCATACAAATACTGCTATCAAAAATTCAAATTCAGGCCTTAGTACCAATAGTAACATCGGTAGGCCCATGTGCTTTTCTGAGCTGGTGCGCCTTCTTTGACATGGATGCTGGTGTTGGTGGCATGCTTATCTACTTATTTTTGGCTTGTCTTCCTATTTTCAGTCCACTGGCTACTATCTTTACTATTAAACCGTATAGAACAGCCGTCGTTGGGGTGTTCATAACCAATGAGACTTCAACACATTATTCTGAACGGAGTTGAAGATATGGCAATATTCTTGTTAACTAAATAAATTGATGAACTGAGGTCCAACTAATCACAGAACAGTATTTTAATAGTACAAAGTACTTCAAAATCTTTACCACACAATTTAGTTATTGTTTGACGCATACGACTTTTGACCTTTACAATGTACAAAAAGTTATCTCTATTGCCGCCACTTAATATTTATATTGTGTATTTAAATTTTTCGAAATACAAAAGCAAAACTGACGTAAAACTACTTGAATTTATTGCTAAATTTTGTGAGGAAACAAGACGCGAGTATTTGAAAATACAATATCGTGTAACAAATTACAACAAGAAGCAAGGTAAGGGTGAACATTTTTAATTACAGTACTCGGGAGTACTGTAATTGGGATCGCCTTTTTATATCTCTAAAATCAGTTGTTGTAGAGATATGCGGTGTTTATCATAGTGTTCTACGTTCAAAATGGCTGTTGTTCGCTGTTGACATCAAAATTTAGTAACTTCGGGAACAAGCTCAAAAATTTAAAAGCAATGAATTTAGTTAGTACTGACTGCAGAACCAGTAAATGAGAACATTCGAGTGGGGAAAGGTTTTTGGATAATATAAACAAAGACCATTCGATACGGCTTGATTGTCATTATAGTCGATAATGGGGATAAAATTGGTATGAAATAGAAGAAAATGTAAATTAGAAGACTGATCACTCCAGCATCGGTGCCCGTTAGCGTACAGTAACCCACAATAGCACACGGACCAACCGAACTCAAGATTGGTACAATTGCCTGAAATTGCTTTACTTTTAAAAACATTTAATAATGTGTTAATGTAAAGTATTTTGTAGTTGTTTTTTCAGTAATGCCAACAAAAGGCTAGATTATATTAGTCCATTATTGTGTTATTACCTGCAACATTAATGTTCTACTTAGCTGCTTCTGCATTGTTAACGATTTTTTCGAAAATGAGCTCAAATTATTGACCAAAAAACGCATTGTCAAGCGACCAATTAGTATTGCAATCACGTAGAAAGCTGAAGATCCAAATAATGTAGCCGAAATGAAAAACTTTGTAACATTGCTTCGCTGAAAAAACAAAAAATATGTGAATAAACAAAGACATAACAACAATTATAAAACTTTGTGTTAACGGACCGCGAAACGTCCTCGCAAAAGGTTGGCTTCTGTCGCAAAGAGCGTCGAAACTCCAAAGAGCTCTGATTAAAAAGTAACGGGACAGTATGACAATCATCTTATAATATTATTTAAGTAATATATGTAATGTGGTCCAAGTTATTGATTTTCATATGAAATAGGTTTGACAGTACTACTTATGTATGTTTTACTTACAATATCAACTGGCAAGATAGTCGGCCCAGACCGAGGATCAAGCCAAAGACGAGCATAGTTAAAGTCTGGTAGTGGTCCAGAAGTAAAACTCAGGTATGCCAGAATTCCATATGCAGACGAAATAGCGAGTGCTGCTGCGTACAAGAAAGCCATTTTCAAACGTAGTAAAAATGGATTTTGTTGTATTCTGATTATGAAAGTATGTATTTTAAAAAATAAAAATAATTATAATCAGTTTAAAAACTAAAAATTCAATTTGTTAAGGATATAATACTTACAGTTGCATGTGAGCGTAACGGTAATAATAATTTACCGGTAGTATTGCAATTGCAGCTGCCACTCCAGTACTGCTTAAACCCATACATATGGCTTGCTGATCGTAATTTAAAATTTTAGCAGGACCGTTAAGCTTTATTGCAACTACATTGTCTTTGATGTTACCAGACTGTAAAGATACAAGTGAAAAAACTATTTTTTTAGATATACACAGTTCTAGGGCGATGATTTTTTTGGAGGGTAGAGTAAAAGGGAATAGGAAATTCAAAACATAGAAGGTTCAAGTTTAATATTTTCAAAAATATTGGTTAGAATACGGTTTCCACTAAAAACACCCTAAAGCTTAAAAAAATAAAAACCTCAAAATAAAACGTTTTTATTTAGCTTTTACCGCTTGAGCCAACGACGTAAAAATCCAAAAAAAGAGGTCGCAAAAGGTTGATATAAGTAACATGGGCTTGTAGTTCTGTAGTGTATTTGGAGTACAACGCAAAATGAAAGTTAACAAGATTAACGACATGAATCCTCCCAAAACGAACGCAACATTATGGCAAACCTCGGTTATTGCCACCCATGCTTTCAATTGTTCAGGAGAAACATCAGGAATTGGGAGAGATTCGTCGATCCACGAAAACCGACTATATTCATTTGGATAGTAAGATGCCATTTTTTAGTTATGGTACAACAAATAATATTTATATTTTGACAAAAACTACTGCGACGTGTTTAAAAGCACGTCAAAGATAGCTGTGTGTAACTAACATTATCAAATTTTTAATTTGTGACAATTCAAGTGCAAAGTAATTTTTAAGTACTGTAGTTACGTACGCCTATTACCTCACATCCCTATGTATGTTTATGCTCTTTTAAAGCAATTAAAATGTATTCGAAATACTTAAGCATTGTGCCCTTTAGTGTACAGTAACCCGAGTCCGAACTACTTTTTTGTAAAGCTGCTTGTAACAAGTTTAAACTACAATAAGTGAAATCCCTAAGGAAATTGACGCACACTTCAACATTAGTTATTATTAAGGGTAAAATACTTTGGGAGTTAAGTTACCTATGATAATTGAGTATACTACTCTGTTAGTCCCCTTATTGATACTAACCAACCAGTACCGCTAGCCTGCGCCTTGTCCGGATAGTTTGGACCCGCTGACCTATCCCACTGAGTCTCTTATCACTACTATTTAGTACTGAAGTACAGTAAATCCTTCTAGAGTAATGATATTACGATTTATTATACATAAGACTATTATATTATACAATCTACAGTATACCTTCTAGAGACCCATAAAACAACCGACTGTTCTCTCCCTTTCTCCAAAACTCGTCTCTCCGTTCTTTCGGGATCGAAGGCTTTTGCGGGCGTTCACAGCTGTCGGGATCGAACACATAGACATAATATACTGATAACGTCAATTTAGACCGTAACATTATTGTTTTTGTATTAATATAATTAATACCAGAGTTCCCACGGGCTCCGGAGCCGGAGCTCATTTTTGAAAGTGGTCGGAGCCGGAGCTGGAGCCGGAGCCGAGTTTTTCTAGGTTGGCTCCACATTTTAATTTTTATTATTCGAGCAGTGTAAAAAGGTCTCGAAAAGAAAACTATCCACGGCCAATTCAAAAGGTTGGCATTGCGATAAAATAGTTTCCTCAAAGCTCTGCAACTCTCAGCATGCCTTAATCAGACAAAAAATGTTAATGTCTTTTAATTCCCCATACTCTGAATAAGTTACGTGTACTTTTTTATCGTTTTAATAGTTAAAAATTGTTGTTGTATCAAATTTAGAAAAGATAAAGCTTATTTTTGTTGTTTTTGCGTTTTTTTATATAAAAATACGATTTTTATTGATTTTGTGCCCTCGGAGCCGGAGCCGGAGCTAGGATTTCTAAATTTGGGAATTCTGATTAATACATAGATCTGTTTTTAGTGCTGTCCAATTGCCTTAATTGGCAAAAAACATATTGATTACAATATTTACCATATAGTATTATCATCATTTATAATATAAAATCTACCTAAATTACTATAAAAATGTTTTTTCAATAAAAAAATTTTCGAAAAAAAAATTGAACGTGTTTTCCCTTGTAGATTTTTAAAAAACATTTTTTGCAAAAAATTGGCACAGATAGCTCTTGTGCCGATTTTTTCGACCCCCGCCCCCAGACCAAAAGTCCCCGCCCGCCCCCGGCCATGAGATATCTTTTGTTATCGTGGCAAAGTACTTGTGTGGTAGACAAAACTCAGACGATGTCAACGAAGCCATGAAAACTTTTTTGGCTCCAGAAATTCTGAATAATCAGTAGCTCACCTTTTGCTATACAACCAGGGTTGGACGCAGGGCAGGGCATGGGCCCGGTAACAGAGCATTTTTGAATTGTTTTTTAGCGCGCTTTTATTTAAATTTTTTTGGCTAGGCCAAAAAACGCAAAAGTTTCTAGAATTGGGTTTAAAACACTGTTAATCCATTATACGTTATTATTTTCTTGATAACTATTACAGTTTTCAAGATATGAGTTTGGCGGGAAAACGAAATTCAAAAAAATGCCATGTTGGAATGCCCTGCCCTGCCCTGCGTCCAATCCTGATTATACAACTTAATACAGTGTTGTCAATTCCAAAGAACAGAGCAGCTTTAGTCAATTTTTCGTATTATTATATAACTAATACTATGTAACAATAAATCTGTTTTTAGTGCTTTGCCATATGTCAAACTGCCTTAATTGGCAAAATAAACTTATTTGTTGCAATCATTACATTCACCATATAGTATTATTATATTCACTTGTGACAGTAGTTTGGGCTATAACGTAAATTACTATAAAATGTCTTTTCAACCAAACGATTACAATCGATTTTCCTGGAGAGATGATACACTGCCACTGTCAGATTCAGTTACTCCTGAACAAATAAACACGTTGGTTGTTGTATCAAAGTTTTGCCATGAGATTTCTTTTGTTATCGGTGGCATAATCTGCTTCAGTTTGCTGTTTTTGATTAAATACAAATCGCCTGTTTCGTTAAAAGATTACAAGCCTATGTTGTTAATGTCGTGCTTTTGCGATATTGCTTGTTGGTTTACGACGGCGTTGCTACAGTTGGTGCGTTTAAGATCTAGACGTAGTGTGAGTGTTGTAATGTAGTCGCACAGCTTAGTGTTAAGTAAAGACGGTTTACTGTAAGAATTACTAGCCGTACTACTGTGCTAGCAACGTATAATGTTTCTCGTTTACAGAGCTGTAACATTAAAGACAACGTAGTAGTTTTAAAACTGAATGGTTTAGCAAAGTCGTTTACGTACAACAACCAAGCACTTTGTGTTGCGTTATACGCGGCTGCAATAGCGACGACTGTAATTATTCTGCCAATAAATTACTACTATCGTT